TTTTTTTTTTTTTTTTTTTTTGTTGGATTTGAAAATTATGTTATCAACTGAGTAAATTAACCCCAATTAGTAGTTTATATTGAAAAATAAAATATATACATTAAAAAATTCTTTAAAATGACTATTGTTTTAAATAAATAATAAATTGAGAAACTTTATCCGATTAATTAGAATCTTTATCTCCTACCTCGATCCCTACAAAAATAAATAAAACATATCGTAGGATGAATATGAGAAGGCTTCCATAGTCCAGTGATAAGAAAAATGGAATAATAGATTTGGACTTAATTTGTAATTTGGATTGTAATGAAAAAAAAAAAAAAAAAAGCAGCAAGTAAAAATCTATGTTTATGTATGTAATATATATTTATAATTCATAATTTCACGAGCAATGTTTTGTTTGGTAGAACGAGCTGGTGCCGAAGTGGTTGAATGCGCATGCGTAATTGAATTGCCGGATTTAAAGGTAAGCTTGGTTTATATACTCCCATGTTCTTCTACACAAAATAATAATAATAATAAATAAACAAAAAGAGAGATTAACAAACTTTTTTGGCAGGGTCGAGAGAGATTGAGAGGGAAACCACTGTACATTTTAGTGGAGTACCGATGAATGCGGCGGCATAAGATGGTTAAATCGCCGCCGTAGACGACGGTAAAACGAGATGTGTACATTAGACGACAGCCACTTGTTGCCGGAATCATTTTGATCTCCTCATTCTCAGGTGTTGGTTTCTGTTCCTCGTCTTTTCTTTTTCTTTTTTCTTTTTGTCCAATTTAATCTTTGAATTTTATGTTCTGAATCTTGTGGGAGAAAAGCCATTGTGATTTGCTTCCACCTCCACTCTTTCTCCATTATATATTGGCTTTGTATGTAACCATGTAGACTGTTTTCTAAGCATTGGGACTAAAAGCTATGGTTCTTGTGGCCTGTTGAGGGATGGACGAGAGTTTCATCTCGGTTTGAACTCGAGAAAAGTTTTTCTGGGTGTTTTAAGCCTATTTCTATGACGATGGAATGCTATTGAGCTTTCTAGATGAGACTTTCGAGAATTCTATGCATATAAAAGGCAAAGGAGATGTTCTATCTATTGCACCTATGAAATAGAGACGACGTTAACGCAAATGGACTTAATATATATATGTTCGAAATTGAAAAGAAATAAAAGGTCGTGCACGTTTATTTGTGAATATATACAGAAACACTTCACAGATAATAAGACATACACAAACTATGATATTCACACAGGCNTGAGGCTTTGGGTATACTTTCTTTATATGGAAGGAAAGTAATACAATACAAACTTTGTTTTATTAGGCATTCCATAATACCTCAAGCAGTAATTGCATCACTCTGGTTGTTGCCTTCATTTGGTTGGGCAGTTTTATGGCCAAAACCGCCGCATCCACCGCCGCATCCGCCACAGCCACCACCACACCCGCCACAGCCACCACTCTTTGCCACGATTCCACCAACAGAACTACCACTATTTACAATATTTCCGCACCCACCACCACAGCCGCCAGCACCGCATCCACCACAGCCACCACTGTTTATAATATTTCCGCATCCACCACCACAGCCGCCAGCACCGCATCCACCACATCCACCGCTCTTCACCATATTTCCACACCCACCACCACAACCGCCACCACCGCAACCCCCACATCCACCGCTCTTTACTATGTTTCCGCACCCACCACCACAACCGCCACCACCGCATCCACCACATCCACCGCTCATCACCATGTTTCCGGACCCTGCAGTGTAACCTCCAGCGTCACATCGGCCACAGTGACTACTAAACTTATCCTCTTTCAAAGGTATTGTTATATTCTCTTTAGAAACACCATCTCCACCATATCTTCCACAGTCACTGCTAAAAATCTCTTCTTTTACTGGCACAACTTCAATTCCTTCAGAAACATTGACTTTTAGATCAGTATTTGTCGAGGATAAATTGGTTAAGTTCATATTCTTTTCTTCCTTGCCAGACGTATGAACACTCACAGGAACAGGGGCAACCTCCAAGTTTTCTTCACTTACAGTTAGGCCATTATACCCTTTTTTCTTCCGTGCATGAAGGAGAAGAAAAGCTGTCATGATTCCGGGCACCACCATCCATTCTTCCTTTATCTTTTTATTACAATATAGAGTCGGTCAGTATCATTCTCAAACATTCAGTTTGCAAAATAGGCGAAAGTGAATGGCAGTAGTACCTTGATAACTCCAAATTTCAAGTCGAACAATGCCACTGCCCTTCCATACGGATATTCTGCAGAGAATTCGATAGCAGTCACGAAGTCCGAATCATGGTTATGTTTACCACAATTTTTGGGCTCATAATCTAGCTTACTGCCCTGGAAAAACTTCACCTATACAAGAAAATATTTGCCAGAAAATAGATAACATTTAAATTCATCAAGATGAAAAGTTACATGCTGAAAAGATTATTCCATTGACATGTTATTTTTAGACGTGAAGGTCTCCGAAACATTCAAGGCCATTATTAGCTTAGGAAATTCAAGTAGTATGCTTGAATTTTGGGTAGGATTCCAGAAACAAGTTCACAAAAGCATTTAGGATGTATTTAGTAGATGAACACATTGCATGCTCGAATAATTATATCGGCTTGTATATGATATGAAAATTTCATTGTGTAACTATGTCTAGTTTTTCTGGCCAATAAGGAAAATAGCAACATACTTTCTAGTTTTTCGATATGATAATAGACAAGCAGAGTGTTTTTTCTTCTAAGAGCTACAGCATCATGAAATAATAAGAATCAAATTACCACAACAGGGACCATACATACCAGCCTCTTGCCCACAAGCTTGAAAAGATGATCATCTTCACTGGATTTTTTTTGAAAATCAAGAAACCATTGACCATCAATCAGAGACCACCCTGTCTTTACAAACTCAGCAAGAAGGCTTGATTCACCGGACATTTTTATGCCAATCACCTCCTTACTTGTTAGAATGGGATTCTTCCCCAGCTTTTCCTTCAAAGAATCCCTTATAAAAATAGAATGAAAACAAAGAAAATTAGGAACCGCATAACTGCAGTGTAATTATATGATAATATTTGTAAACATAGTTCGATAGATTGTCATTGACATTGGGAATGTAGGAAAGTAGTATCCAAGACTCCAATCTGTCGAATAAAAGCATCTCTATGCTTTAGAGGTATAGAGGAACTTGACTTTATGAACTTCACAAATGGGATGTCAAACGAGTTCAAAGATTGCTCATTGAAGACTTTGGATAATTGTCTACAAAGATGATTAATCTACAAAGACCGCATTTATATCAACTGCAATTGCAACATTATTATTATAAAGCAAACACATAAGAGGAAACATAGTGAGCGAAGAAGCACAAACACTTTAGTGTGTATCCGTGTCTGACACTTGAACACTCTCATACTAATTGGACACTCGTTAGCACAATAGATATGTGTTAGACAACAGTCATACAAACATGTATCAAACCCTTGTTATGTATACTAAATAGATACATATAACATAGGAAAAATAATAAATTTTGCAAGCTAAATATATCAAACTAATTTTTTTTTTTTCAAAATATAAATGCATAGACTTATTTACTTTGAATTTTCCACTTGTATAAAAATATATTTTTTAAAAAACTGTGTAATTTATTAAACATGTCTTTTCCATGTCCGTTTATCAAATTTCAATGAATAAGTCTCTATATCCATATCCATGTCATGTCACATTCGTGTCTCATATTCGTGTCCATGCTTCTTATGCAGTGACTATGTATCTTTGTTTCCGCCGACTTGTAACCATAAATATAGCATCAACTCCCGAGCTACTAGAAAGGAAGAATCACCTTACCTCAATTGAAGGCTGATGACCTCATTGCCTGCTTCATCAGTGACTTGCATCCAACCCTTTGAGTGCTGCATCTTTGTGCAGGAAGGGAGAAAAGAAGTCCATCTGGATGGTTCTCGAGAAAAAAACATATGAAGTTCCCGTGGTGCAGGGTGGGGAACGGTGAATGAGATAGCCACTCTGAGGGAAATTGGCTTTGAGCTTACATGGTCAGAAACTGGCTTCAACTCCAACCATCTCTCCATTGAGAGCTTAGAGGTTGGAACAAGAATGTCATGTAGAGGGAGTGAAATGGAGCCCAATGTTAAGCTGGTCCGTGTTATCGGTATGCTGGAAGACCTATTGCAGATGAGCTCAAATTGCAGATCTCCTTTAGGTTCACACTGAAAAGAAGCAACCTGTTTCACCCCTGTCTCAGATAATATGCTCAGTTTCCGTTTGGCACTGAATATTGCATCTGGTTGACTTTTCATAAATTGCACAAAAAAATTTCCTTTCAACCCTTCTGGTTTGTTTTTAACTTCCACAAACTCCAATAGGACCTGAACATAGAAACATGTAATATTGAACAAGTGGAAGTAGGATAAGTTCATTTCCATGTTTATACATTTGTGTCAGTGATCTTAAGATGTTAACAAAAATTTCATGGGAAAAATGGGAATGGAATATGAGAATAAATAAAGAAAAATGAGCTACCTCAACCGTCTTTAATTCTGGAAGATGAACTATGTTTTGACACTCCTTGGATGAAACCTCGTCATCTTTAATCAAGTTAGTTGAACCTGAATACGAATTTAGCAGGAGAGGAGATGGGCTATTGCCTCTATACATTGCCCCTGCCTTCCAGTACCTAGTACCAAATGTATCTTCCCACTGTTTTGTAGTTCCAGAGAACCCAGTATCCAATTTCTTCCCTTTTGTTCGGTCTGAATCCATATCATCATGCTCCAATATCATACCAAGTAAGTTTTTCAAGTCTTTACAATATGAAATAGGGTGCAATTGATGAGTATGCCAAATTAGATCAATATCATATGTTGGAACACAAAAGCGTTTTATAGACTTCTCCCTGTTGCTTTTGATTAAATATAGAAATCCTTTGTATCTAGCCACAGCTTCTTGAAGGAAAACTTCATTGTCCATATGAGGTCGGGACACCTGTCCACAGCAATTGAAGGACAGAACATATGATGAATGACGGGAAGTTTAATCATCTGAATAATATTGGTGTAAAATGATACATTTTATTTTTGCTAAGAATTCTAATGTCATCATTGGCAAAGATGCTGAAAATAAACAAAGAATACAAGAAGTTCCCTAGAGGGAAACTAAAAGAAAGATAATACAGAAAAAGTTTAAACTTGTTAGATCAAATCGTCCAGTGATTGAATATAAAAATTGAGAACATTTTCTATCTTTTAAATCACCTTCTTTTTGGGGGGACTAAAACATTTTAAGCACAAAGTCAAGTTCATTGCGCACACTTGCAAATAAAATTATCAGTCGAGTATCAGTACCTGATAAAAGAAGGGGCTCTGTCTTTTAACAGCTGAAACAAGATCATATTTGGTATATTTTTCAAGTCCCGAGAGCGCTTTCAGGGCATCCTCTTGATACTCTCCGGTTGGGTTGAAGTTGAAGTTGAAATGCTCTTCAGGGTATAATTCATTCCAAACTTCTTCGGTTTCTCTTGGACAAGAACTTCCTAGGGTCGATACAACATTGGAATTGTCAAGTATCTTTCCATAAAGTTCCTCACAATCAGATTTGTACCGCACCTACACAAATTAAGAAAATTTTTGTTAGCTACTCAACCACATAAACCAGTCTACCAATGAACTATATACATCAAAGTCTAGAAGGTACAGGATTCAATCTGTGACAATGCCAAATCCATTCACAGTCAAAGGGGACAACTAAAGGCCCTTCAAATAGTGGAGATTCAGAATGTTTGGCAAGCAATGGAAGCCAGTAAGCGTTGTACCTACAAGTAGAATTTTACACTTCAGAAATCTGATATCTAATGCTCTGTTATCAATCCGGAATGAAGTAGTAATGCAAGAGAATAGTTCCATAAATTTACAAAGCTGTAAGAATAAAAAATTTAGCCAAACGCATTACTGATGAACAAGTACACTTGAGGAGTAACAAAAAAAAACATTTGAAATCAGTTAGAGAAAAAATCGATCTCTAGATTACTTACCGATAAATAGCCCTTTCAAGGCTTGGGCCTTCATAAAGGAATCGATTCCTATCGACAGCCGAGAGAAACTGAAGCTGACGCTTAGCAGCAGCTACCAGGTCAACACCTATTTCAATCCGTTGTGCTTCTGCCCACTCAAGCTCTTGATTCTTCTCCATTTCGCAGAAAAAACCTAAGAATGAAAACCGTTTCAGAAAAACATTCTACATACCTTCCATCGTTGAATTATTTACATATAATTCATCAATCATTAAGATAATTGTCAACTAGTCAAGGAATTATATCGTCAACCATAAGTCTCCCTCGACCTCATTAATCACATCGATAACTGTTAATCTTACTCAATAGTCGAACAAGTTCATCCTTCAGTGAAAAAATATCCATTAGGAACAGATAAAAACCAATTCTACAAGAACACTTCCAATTTTCTCAGAAACTATTCCGAATCGGACATCAAATTCTAGTAACTGAACAAAGAAAGATCATCATCATCATCATCATAATCATCACCACCACGATTTTAAGTTTTGACTTGTCTTTTTTCCAATTCTCTATCGATTCTAATCACAATAATCATCATGTAACCGTAGATCGAAAATTAAACTAATGAATAGAAAATATTACCTTAAAATTCCTTGACTATGCGAGATTTGGCGTGGGAGTGTAAAGAAATTGGTGTTAGAACTGTAAGAAGACCAAACAACAAAGAGGATGAGAAGGAGAGAGAGAGAGAGAGAGAGAGAGAGAGAAACATCTGAAAGGAATTGCAGGAAGAAATGTGTGAATATATATATATATATAGATATGTATGTATGTATATATTAAAGAAGTCATAAGGCATGGGAAGCTTCATCTCCCTAACAATTATAGAAAGATTCAAATGTCAATATCAATGAAATTTCAAGAGAAATTTCAACAAAATATCATACAAATTATTAAATTAATTAAAATATTAAGATTTTATTTAATTTATTTAAAAGTAAAGCTGTAACCTAATTAATTAATAAATTAAAATTAATTAATAGTTGTTATTATTTATTTTAATTAATTATTAAATATCAATATATTAGTTTACCAATTGCATTTAGGATTAGCTATTCAATATAAAATTGTATTTATTAAATTTATTATGTATTATTAGTTTCTTGATTAATTTATACTTGTTTAATTATTTTTAGTCCCTTAACTTCAAAAAAAAAAAAAAAAAAAAAAAAAAAAAAAAAAAAAAAAAAAAAAAAAAAAAAAAAAAATCAATTAATCCTTACTACCATACATACCGAGAACTTTGTCGAGACTTGGGTTAATCATAGAAGAGATAAAGGAGTTAGTGGAACGCAATCTTATATATGTCGAGACCTGGGTTAATCATAGAGCGCCCAATAATACCATTGTCGACCCTAGAGCCACCCACAACTTCATGACCAAGACGCTTGAACATCTCTTGGCATCGAGTTACATGAAAGATGAAAGTTGTCAATTCGACAGCTTTACTCGTCTTAGGAGAGTTGCAAAGAGAACTTTGATCAAGCTAGGGACTTGAACTCGACAAACCAATTTTGTGATACTCAAGATGAATGACTTCAACATCGTGTTAGGGATGGACTTCCTACTAGAACACATTCGCTTAGTAGTAACAGGGTCAAACCCGACAATCATTCAGACAAACACCATCAACCAAGAGGGGTGAAAATGATGTCGATGCTACAGTTGAGAAAGGATCTAAGTCATGATGAACCTACGTTTGATGTTATTATCCTAGTCGAAGAGGGGAGCTCGAGTGAGCCAACCACAATAGAAACCTCACGGCCCCCACAAGAACACCGTGACACAAAGCCATCATTTGAAATTTTACTCAAGGTCGAGAAGACATCACATATCTTTTTGTTCAGGACATATTGTCCATGGCCGCATGTCCGTTCCAAACCTATTTTACTTGCTTTCACATTAAATAGATCCTTGTTATTTTTGTTGTGTGATGCATGAATAGTTACCAAAATCATGTCTATATACGTCGAGACGAAAATGTCCCAAATTAAATTAGAGGGGATGTACTAATGGTCCATTCTTCTACTGTGCTTTAAAACTATTAAAATGTTATGATTGCTTATTTGCTTTTAGCCTATAAAACTCCAAGCATGTGAACTGCAGGAACGGCGCATACCCAAAAATACAAACCAAATCAGTAGCTGGCGATGAATCATCACCAATCGATTTCCTCCTTCAATTGGGAAATTTTGCACTACAAACAACAAACGAATGTTAGCTCCTCTGAATTGCTAATCTTTGCCTCAACTATCGACCATGCCGAATTCCCAATCCCAACCTGCTTCCCGCTATGTCGCGGTAATAGGCGCCGGCGCCGGTGGCATTGTCGTTGCCCGTGAGCTCAGCCGCGAGGGCCACCGTGTGGTCGTCTTCGAACGGAACAGTCAAATTGGAGGGACCTGGGTGTATTCTCCGGAAATTGAATCCGATCCACTTGGAGTCAACCCTGATCGGACCCGAATCCATAGCAGCCTTTACAAATCTCTACGCACCAATCTCCCCAGAGAACTTATGGGCGTTCGGGATTACCCGTTTTTGCCACGAGAAGGGGGAGATCGAGATCCGAGGCGATTTCCAGGTCATCGAGAGGTTTTGAAGTATTTGGAAGATTTCGCGAATGAATTTGGGATCTGTGAATTGGTGAGATTTGGAACTGAGGTGGTTTTTGTTGGTCTGGAGCTTGGAAAATGGAGGATTCGATTTCGATGTGAAAATGGGGCTGTTCATGAAGAAACTTTTGATGCTGTAGTTGTTTGTGTTGGGAATTTTACGCAGCCTCGAGTGGCAGAGATTCCTGGTATATTCCAAAAAGTTCTTCAGTTTAATCCAATTGTTCTTTTGTTTATTTATGTTTTGGCTAGTAATTTGTTGATAGATAGAATTGGTATCTCACTTTTTCTTCTCTAAATGTGAGTTCTGTACATTCTAGATAAGGTTAGCTGCTCATGGGAGATAGTTTGTGCATTAATTTCTATTCTTGTAGGCTTCATGTTCATAGATTGGTTGTGTTCTTGCTCGTTTACTGCGATCATTTTTGCACATAATATAAGGTTTCTTGTTTGGATTTCAGTGTTTTTTGGTTATTGAACTCTTTTTACGTTGTCTTGTGTCTGTCTATAAGAATACTTGATACAATGACAAGCTTGTAACTGGAGTTTTGTTCTCTCTATGATGTGTATTATCTTGTAACAACGAAACGTTCTTTCCAGGTATCGATGAATGGCCTGGTGAACAGATACATAGTCATAATTATCGCAGTCCCGAACCATTTCGGGGTAAGGTACATTCAAATTGCTCTGCCGAATTCTATGTCAATTTACATGGCATACTGACATTGTTGGTATTGGGAAGGGTCATAGTTTCTAAGTCTAAACTCTGCTTTACACATTTTAATTAAGTTTTTCCATTAATGTGATGAAATGGCCCTCAATTGGCCTCATGGAAAAACTGTAATAGTAGATATTGTTCTCTTTGTGCTTTCTCTTTCGCTTTCGGACTTCCCCACAAGGTTTTCAAAACGCATCTGCTAGGGAGAGGTTTCCACACCCTTATAAATAATGTTTTGCCCCCTCTCCAATCGATGTTGGATCTCACAATCCACTCCCCTTTAGAGGCCTAGTGTCCTTGCTAGCACTCGTTCCTCTCTCCAATTGATGTGGGATCTCACAATCCACCCCCCTTCGGGGCCTAGTGTCCTCGCTAACATATCGCCCGGTATCTGGCTCTGATATTTGTAACAGCCTAAGCCCACTACTAGCAGATATTGTCCTCTTTGAACTTTCCCTCTCGGACTTACCCTAAAGGTTTTTAAAACGTGTCTGCTAGGAAGAAGTTGTCACACCCTTGTAAAGAATGCTTCGTTCTCTTCTACAACCGATGTGGGATCTCACAATCCACTCCTTTGGGGCCAGCATCTTTGCTGGCACTTGTTCCTCTCTCCGATCAATGTGGGACCTACGGGATCTCACAAAAACGGATGAACTAAAAACTCATGACTTTGAGGTCTTTGTATATAAATCTAATGCCAATATAAACATAATATGTTTTATTCCTTTTTCTTTTGGGACAGGTTGTTGTCGTGATAGGTTATTCTTCAAGTGGTACGGACATTTCTCAGGAGCTCATTGGGGTTGCCAAAGAAATTCATATTGCTTGTAAATCAGCTAAAACAGAGCTTTTGGACACACAATCAAGTATTAATAGCGTGTCATTGCATCCAATGGTATAAGTGAGCCTTGGAGGCGATTTCTACTTCCGAATGTGGTCTTTAAGGTCCTAATATTTACTTATAAACTGCAGATCGAAAGTGTCCATAAAGATGGGAGAGTGGTCTTTCAAGATGGGTGCATCGTTTCGGTGGATGTGATTCTGCACTGCACTGGGTATGCTATTGTTGATTGTTTTGCGTTTTCAATGTCGGTAGAAGAAGATGAGAAAGACGATGTGTGAAAGCAATGGTAGATATTAGATAACATGTAGATTGCAATCTTGGCATGAAGAAAATGAAGAACAGAGCTTAAAGTTCTAATGATTAGAAAACTGCTAAGCACATTTCTGTAGGATTCTCTTCATAAGTTTCACAACTAGGTTGATGCAATTATCAAATAATGAGAGTTTAAATAATCAACCAACTTCTCTAAAATGGGTAGAAGGATAATTTTGGAATCAAGTAGAATATGATAGTGTACCGCCCAAGCCCAAGCCCACTGCTAACAGATATTGTCCGCTTTGACCTGTATGTAGCGTTGTCAGTCTCACGGTTTTAAAACACGTCTGCTAGGGAAAGGTTTCCACATACTTATAAAGAATGTTTCGTTCCCCTCTCCAACCAATATGGGATCCACTCCCCTTGGAGGCATAGCGTCCTCGCTGATACACCGCCCGATGACTGGTTATGATACTATTTTGTAATGGCCAAGGCCCACCGCTAATAGATATTGTCTGCTTTGACCCGTTACATATCACTATCAGCGTCACGGTTTTAAAACGCATATGCAAGAAAGAGGTTTCCACACCCTTATGAAGAATGTTTCGTTTCCCTCTCCAATCGATGTGAGATCTCACGGATAGCGATACATAGATTTAAATTGGTATTTTCCAGGTGTAAATTACTGGGGAAATAAAAACTTCTTTGAAATTGTAAGAATGTTAACTTGGAGTCTGAAAAACTGGAATCTCACTGAAACATTGCTTTGGGGATTGCTTTACTTCTGACTATCATAGGAACTGCAGGTAGTTGACAGCTTTTATATTCATGTTCTTGTTCAAGGTACAAGTATGATTACCCTTTTCTTGAAACCAATGGCATTGTTACTGTGAACGAGAACCGTGTAGGACCTCTATACAAGCATGTCTTCCCCCCAGCGTTGGCCCCGGGGCTTTCCTTTGTTGGGTTACCATTTAAGGCAAGTATCCGATCGTGGTACAAGCTTCGACTTTGCTTTATTGTTAGAATAATTTTTTTTTTTTTGCTTTAATTTGTACTGCAGGCTGTTCCATTGCCCTTGTTTGAGCTTCAAGGCAATTGGGTTGCTGGTGTTTTATCAAACAGGATTGCACTTCCATCAAAAGAGGAGATGTTGGCCGATGTTAGAGCTTTCTACGCAGCTCTAGAAGCTTCTGGCAAGCCCAAGCATCTGACCCACGAATTGGGTGATTCTTCGGTATGTTTTATGCTTAGTCACATGCCTGAATGATTATTTTGAACAGAAGAGGGAAATAATTAGTTTCAA